TCCAAAAACTCTTAGAAACTTAAGCAACTACGAATCACATAAACGCATCAACACCGTGTTAAGCACAAACCATACAGCATGTGCAAAATGTAACAGAAGAAGAATAAGAAGATAAAATGCCAAGCCAACGGCCTGGAACGTCAGTACGGAACATGTATCTTATCCATGGCCTGAACACTGCTCATTAGCCTGAATGTGCATAAAAATAATTTGATTCACGTTAGGTATAAAGTAAGCCAGGGCCGCAGAACTTGTATATTGTCACCAATTGCGAATTGCGTAATTTGAGGAAACAATTTTTGTAAAAGTAACTTGTGCAATTAATTTATCCCGATAAGCCTGAAGGAGAAGCATTCAGTGAGAACTTCAATCTGTCAGCGTTTACTTGTAGTGGCCAGTCGCAGGAACTTCCGGATACAAACTGACCTACAGCCAGCAGTCCGGTAACTGAAGAGCGGGGGGTGCCCACAGGTTTACCTAGCGTTTACCTACCTAGCAAGCGTTCTGTCATTGCGCTGCTTGTGTCAAAAGCAATACATGGGTTGCAACAACAAATTTCTTATGAGACTGATCACGAAAAGCAGTTCCTTCGGAAGCTTTCCTTCATCAAATCTAATTTTTGATACCTGTGCGTTAGCAAGTGGTTTCTCTTGTGAAAACTGGTCAGGTTCGAGGTGATTCAGGGTTTAAATCTAGCTTTTGTTTTCTCACACTCTGACCAATGTCTGAACCGGGCCGCGCCATAGCTCAAGTGGTTAGTGGCTGGCTTCCCACCACGGCTGCCCGGGTTCTATCCCGGGTCTGGTCAAGTGGGATTTGTGGTGGACAAAGTGGAGCTGGGGCGGGTTTTCTCCGAGTACTTCTGTTTCCCCTGCCAATCTTCATTCCCAAATTCTCCATTATCATAATCACCCGGGGCAGGCTACAATAAGCCAATCAGTGGTCGCCGTGCCGAGTGGACCCAGTTGGACTCCCCCCCCTCAAAGCGAATTAAAACAAAATGTCTGAACCGTATAGGCGATGTCATGATTCTTCCGTTCCAACCGCTGACCTGGAAGAAAATAGGAGAAAATATTAATGAAATGAACTCAGTATTCTTTCCAATATATATACCAGTTATGGCTGTTAAAACAACGTGCAAGTAAGCCTATAGCGATAAAGATTCTGGATGTTATTGGAATCCTGATTCACATTTTTGTAACAGCAAAAGGAAACTACAGTTTTGTATTATTATTATTGTTGTTGTTATTATTATTATTATTATTATTATTAGAGAGGGTGGGTTTCCCCATGCACTTAGACCAGTTATTGGTCCATTGTGCGTCCCCCTTTAATTTCTACTGTCCCCATACCCTACCGGTACTGGTGCGTGCTATCAGCCCCGTTCAGCCAACGAGGTCGGCCGTCGGTACCTGATATTTCCCCCCTCTACCAGAGGCATTGGAAACTACTTGGGCGGGAAATTGTTGCCTAGTTTTGCTCAGAGGTCTCCTAGAGACATGAGGATCTTTTACGTGCCGTAAATCTACGACACGGGACCCACGGCTTAAAGTCCCTCCCGGAGGACTTGTTCCCTGAATTTTTCCGCCGGGTTTGAACCCGCGTACTTTGAGTCATGAGGTGGGAACGTTACCCGTAGACTACGGAGGCCGCTTTACAGTTTTGTAACTTGGGTATTATTCATTTTTGAAAGCTTGATATACTGTATTTGGCGATACCGACAAAGAGAGGAACCATATTTTGATCAAAGAACAAGCACTTCTCTTTGTCACACATAAGTCTCTACAAATAAATTACCTCAGATTCTTTTGAAGAATGAAGGAGAATATAATAAATCCTAACTCGCAGTAACTCTAACAAGCTTAATATCCGATTTGAACCCGTGAGGTTAGACATCATAATTCAAATATTGTCATATTAGCTGATTTAGTTACACAGAGTTTTTTTGATAAACTTGACGCGTTGACGGCCCTGCGCTTCACGGAGACCGGAGCACCGCTTGCCGCGGAGCACATGTGAATATTGCCGATAACTCAGCACGCCGATGACATTTGGTATGAAGAGAACTTCTTACCTTTCTTAACAGATCGCTGGAGGTGTTGAAAAACACTGTCCCTTTGCACGTAAATATCTTTCGAAATTAATTGTTTCGTTAAAAAAAACACGTACAACAATTCTTGCACATCAGACACCAACTTTCACTTCATGCTTCAGCAATTCTGTTGCCGTTCTTGCACTAGACTTTGACATTCCAGTCCATCGAGCTACACGTTTCAGTGATATGCTAGGTGTATGTTCAAATCTGGCCCCTATGTCTTTAACTTCTCCTCAGTAAACACTCGGCGCTTAAGAGTCCATCCACCAAATTATGAATGTCTTTGTGTGCTGGGAACTCTTCCATCACGAAATTTTCGCCAACACTTTCCAGGAGATCCGTACTTGACGTAAGTGTCATTCATAAATACACGTTGCTCTAAAGTATAGCGAACCATGTCTTGCCACACTCCTGACTAACTGTTAACTGGGAACAAATGGCGCATGGCGCCGATAACTACTGCTTACTGCTGACAAATCCTAAACAAACTCCCATAAATGAACATAATACCGTGTAGAGGTATACAAGCTAATTATTTTCTCTCATTCCAAACGTTATCGGCCTTCAAGCATGCTGAGTCATTCGCAAAACTCGCATGCATCCTGCGACCGAAGACGTACCGGTCCCCGTGAAGCGCAGAGCCGTGAACTCGTCGAGTTTACTAAAAGTGACTCTGTGGTTTTGTTGTTTTACAGTTATATTAATTTATTATGCAATGATAAATGTTACAAACTAATGAATTAATATATTTAAATATTGTTCTTTTTATAAGTTTCACTCCTGTGTGGGTTTGCTCTTGAGCCTTAGAACTAACAGCCACACAAACATAAGTAAGGAACCTTGTTTCATTTCCTACTATATACCACATGTTTCGACTGCAAGTGGTCATCATCAGGTGATGACCAAACAGTAAACTGCATGTAGGCTGCAAGTAAAAATTCGTTGAAATGTGTAGATTTATTAAAATTTGGTGACGATAATAATGAATCAGATGGGATTCGAATTGATTTCACAAAGACATTAATTTAAAAATGTCAGCCTTTTTCCAAGTATAAGTATTTTCGAAACTGTAAAATTATATTTCTGGCATTTAGTTCGGATTTTCTACGTAATGTGGCACTTCACATTCTCGTATTGTATAATATATAATAATATAATACCTCTCCCTATGTGACCGTCTTGGCGAATCCAAGCTAAATGACAGCTCTAGATTTTACGTTAGTCTGTCTTCTGCGGGTGGTGTTTTTATGTTGGTGGGTAGCCGGAGCTCATTGATGTGGCGAAGTGGGTATCTCTGGTATCTCTGAAGTCAAGAACCGATATGTAGACGTAACATATAACGTGAGTCCTTGAGGACCGATGGGTGTGGTGAAATGTGTCTTTGAAGGCAAGGAATTAACGTGTTGACGTGGTGTGATGTGCCCTCCAAGGTTACGGTCTCTGTATTCCTATTTTTATATTCATACTTTTGTGAACGAAAATTTGATCTGATCTTATTCAGTGTTATTTAACCAAATTTGTATACAGTTCCCCATTTTAACAAATTTATTCTTGCAGTTTATCTTATATTTGCATACATCACCTGTTTATGAACGTTTACGATTGAAACATATACGTATATAGAGTGTTTTAATAAACATGAATAATTCATGGCTCTGCGCTTCACCGCGACCGGTGCACCGCCAGCCGCGAAGCGCACCTAAACTTTGCCGATGACTCAACATTGTGATAGGAGGTGGTGAAAATGCTGTATCTGTACACGTAAATATTTCTGGCACCGGCGGAGGAGATTTTGATTTGCCTTCTGACGATATTTTGCAGGAATATTTGAAATTTCCCAATGAAAGTTTTCTTTCAGTAATTCCGTTCGAGGGCTACTGCTGTAAACTTTGACCTTCAAACAACCCCAGAAGGAAAAAATAGCAAGGATTAAGATCGGGTGAACGTGCTGGCCAAATACCACTGCTGATAATTCCCTCCCTGTACACATCGGACAAAGCCTACATAGACATACATGCAGTGTGGGCAGTATCTGAGTCTTGCTGAAACCAGCCGTACAGTTTTGCTTCCTCGGGAAATAATTGGCATTTCATATTACCTATCTTTCGCAATTAATTATTTCCTTAAAAACACAAGTCCAACAATCCTTCATGCGCTTACAGCACACCAGACACCAACTTCCGCTGGATGGAACAGGACTTCGTGGGTTAGATGTGGATTCTGTGAACTCCAGTAGCAATTATTTTGCGTATTTATGTATCCCAGCAAATGAAACCACGCTCCATCAGAGAAGAATGTCAATTGCAGATCAATCTCACCTTCGACGACAGACTGTAGAAACGAACTGCAAAAACGAACCCTGCTAGCTGGATCGCGCGGCTGCAAGGCGTGGATTACTCCTGTTTTAATTTTACGAGTCAAAATTATTATATTTACTTATACTACCCTTTGCACTAGATGAGCCTCATCAGTAATTCTAATCTGTCTTACATAACCTCCACACATGCGTATATTAGAGATCGGTTGGTTCTATGTTCTGTTCAAAATAATTGCTTGTATGTAAGGCACAACCTACACAAAATAAACACACGAATTTTTGTGGGTTGCCTTTTATGTTGTTTGTTTACGGACACTTTCAATAGCTTCGATTATATAGCGTGTAATTATTACATGATTAATGGTTTTTCCTAATTTGAGGCACTATCGCGGAAATATTTTGAAGAAAAACAACGAAACACCTCAGTCAGGATTAGTCTTCGGGTTGAGATATGAACCCGAGACATACGGTATGTAGAGCAGGAGAGATCCGCTCAAGCGTGAAGTTCGATGGTCGTCATCCTAAGACAACACGTGGCTTCTTGTCAGGATATATTCTCATTAGCTTGTGTTTGCGCTTGTGTTGCAGGGTAGAATCGAGTGTCCCCAGCACAACAATCCACTTCCCATGTCTGGACCAACAGCGCTCCCTGGAGCTCGTGTTCAGTGGCGTGACCGTGACTGTGGACAAGAGACCAATACTGAGAGATGTGAGTGGTGTGGTGAGACCCGGGGAACTGCTGGCAGTCATGGGGCCATCCGGTGAGTGATGTCTGGTAATACCGGCTATGAGAAGCTGATAAGTCATTCCTACCATTTGAGTAATCTGAAACTTCATTACCGTGTTAAAACAAACCCGCCACTGGACCCCATCCTGAGACATATTAATTCAGTCCACGTCCTCGTATCCTGTTTCTTTGAGTTCCATTTGAATATTATCCTGTCATCTGCCAGTAAGTCTCCTTGATGGTTTGTTCCCTTTGGGTTCTTCAACTTTTGTGTGGGTTTAGAATCTCTTCCATGCGTGCTATGTGCCAGGCTTCTCCCACACTTGATTTTATCACAGTTATGAGCACAAATTATGAAGCCCCATATTATGAAATATTTTCAATATTCCTCTTTCCTTCCCCTCTCCTCGCACCCACGTAAAACACAACATATACTTTTATGCTTTATTTATATTCTACTCGATAAGTCTCTATATAGGAGACGGGAAGACAGAAGAGTCCTACCTGACTGGTACAGGAGCTAGGACAGCTCATCAAGTAGTGACTAAGCTACGGGCATGACATGTGACGAATCTAAGTTGGAGCCCCATCTGGGGTAAAAGAATTCTCTTCTGTACAGCGCCTACACCGATTCTGGGGCCCACCCCATCTCCTGTCGAACTGATAGCGACGATTCTTTGTCCGGAGGTAAGGCGGATGGAGCATAAAGCTTCTCATTCATCTCAATCTAGTCTCGAAGTTAATATATGGAGCTATACATATTTCCACTTCCCCGTGCGTCTTCATGGCGAGGCGCTTTCGTTATTCAACGATAGAATTATTAGTGTTCACATAAAGTGTAAATTTGTGGCAGGCTCAGTTTGTTTAGCTGCCGTGTGGAGGAGCTTGGAGGTATTCGCTCGGCTCGGCACACAGCGCAGTAAAGGTCTAGGTCAGCGACCTTCCGAGCCTCCGTTTTATCAGAATCCTACATGACTGCCCTCCCTTTCTAAATTATGTAACAGTAGCAATAATGTCACACGCCATCAGCGCCGTTGTTACGGCTCAACGGCCTTACATCGGGAACAATTAGCCACATGTCAGGACCGATCCCTATGGTCTTAGATCAATGAATGTTATGGTCGCAGGATGGAATAGCTTCGAAAGCGAATGTGCATTTGTCAGCATTTCCAGCCCTTTACCTAGCACCGCACTGGCTCAAAATCGAGGTTAGTGTAGCGGTAATGCATCAGAGAGAGAACCCAGTTTGAAACTTGGTCAGATTTCCTGTTTTTCTTACTGTCTTTTTTTCGTAACATTGCTCACCATGTCCAGTAAAGACTAGTCCTTTCAGTCAACTGACCAACGCCTCCTACATTCACAGTTCGGAAAAACTGATTTCGACCTATTCGTTCTACATGGTCGTATTTAATCTCAATTGATGCTGTAT